ATTTATATAGTAAAGGTTAGGAGGTTCTTTAAGACAAGAGTTCTTGTCCTCTAGCTTTAAAATATGTTGCACCTGAAAGCCTTAGACCCTTGAGCTCTAATATGATGCAATTAAGCATCAAGGCAGGAACATGGGAGTCCCTTGTTAATGTTACTTTATGTTAAGCAAGGGGTTGCACAGAGCTACCCCTCTACAAAAGGAAAAAAAATAATTTGTTTTTTTAATGGGAAAAAGGTTATGTAATTAATAAACCCATGACTTTTCCCAAAGAGATGTTTTATTAATGCTTATCAGCTGTGTCATCTGGTTAAAATTTTGGGGATTTAGTTGGGGGGGTGATTTTTTGTTTTTGTTTGGGGTTTCTTTTGAGGGGGACTTCCATAAGTATCTTGGTGTGAGAAAAGGTGTAATTGCAGAAGAAATGAAAAATTATATCATCAATTGTAGATAGTTTGAAGGAGCAGAGCTGACATGTGATTTCCTATTGTCCAGTGGTGTCTAAAACTCCATGAGGTCAGTGTGCAAGTCCTTGAGCTGAAGAGCCAGAACAGAGCCAAGCTGATACAATCATCAGAGCACTGTTTGGGAGCCTCCAACTTTGTTATGTGACTGACTGGCCTGGTGTTACTTCTCCCCCTCCTCCCAGTTTGGGGGCACACTTCCCAAAACCTCTCAAAATTGGGGGATTCTTCCTCAGTTTTATAAGGAATTCAGAATGTAAGGATAAGAAGCTTTCAGAATTGTTACTTTAGAAAGTTCTTTTGACTCTCTGAACTGTTATGTTCTTATGGTTTTGGTTTTGGGGATTTTTTTTTGCTGTCATTTGAGCTTAACAAAAGAAAAAGCTGCAGGACTCAATGACTTAATTGAAATATATTGTTCTATCAGGATAAAGAGGTAGCTACCACAAATATGTGCCTACTAGATAAGAATCAGGAGTTTGTTTTTTAAAGAAATACTCTTTTAGATCCTCCTGCCAACCTTTAAAACTGTGCAAACATCCAGTGTAGCATGTGTGCATGAAACATCCTTAATGGAGTAATAATCTCTAGTTAATAATTAAATCTCTGAGGGCTTTTGTAATTTGAGGATGCTACAGTATTTAATCTCTTTAAGTGAGACTTCTTAAAGAGGAGTATTCAGCATTTGAATTTCATGAAAGGAATCTTAACCTTATGTAAAGACTGATTTAATATACTAGAGGTTTAACTTGTCAGTGTGAAGAAGAATTGATATCTCAGACTAAACTTGATGCTGGATTTGCAGGCACAGGTAGAATTTTTGGGCTGTTGACTGACAAACTCTTGCTCAGAGATGCATTGATGAGAGTCACAAGTGCTGAAGTGTGTCAATTTTCAGCCAATGCAGCACTTGTCACACTAATGTATGCATCAAATTAATGGAAATGTTGGTGTGCTAAAGTAAATAGCAGGCCTCCATTATAAAAGTTGATGAACTTATAAATTAGTCTGTGGGAATGGGATACCTCCCCTCCTCTGCAGCCTTTTTAAAGTTTATTCTTTAATCATTTTGCCTTCTCTGTAAAAAAAAAAAAAATAATCACTGAATCCTGTCCCAGTGTCCATATCTCAGGTTTGATAACTAAAGAAAAAATTTGAAAAACGTTTTAAAAACTAAATGGAGTGCTGTCATCTAGTTCTTTCATATATGCAGTTTAGGTGCTGCAGGCTGATGTCTTTCCCAAGTTATTATCCCACCTGTTTGAAATGGAAAGCCTTTATAAAGAGGATTGTGTAGACTAATACCATTCATTTGGGATGGCCTCTCTGAAACACTTGGTTTTTATTTTTCAAGTAGGCTGTAGGTGGGAGATCCACGTCCTGTTTCAGAGGCAGAGCCAACACTGCAGTTCTTGGTTTTTTCTGTGTTGTTCTGTCAAAAACAACCAACCAACCAAAACCACCAAAAAGCAACCAAACCAAACAAAACAGAACCCTCAATAAAAACTCCCAAAGTTGAAGTTTGCAGCCCTTAGCAAGCTGTTGACAAATTATCAAAATGGCAAAGCACTTCTGTGTTTGCCAGCAGCAGAAATGTAGCCAGTGCTGATGCAGGGTTCTTTTAGAGCTCGTGTGCACTGTCAGCACTTTAAGAAAAACCAGCTCAAGGCCTCTCCCCTTTTCAATCTTTGGCAAGTCCACATCTACTGACAGAAACAGAGATGTGTGAAAGTTCAGGATAGCACAGTCCAGCAGTTCATTGCACTGCTGGTTACTTTGCTGTTTGAGCAAGTAACTTTTCCCCAGTTCCACAGCAAATTTTGAAGCATTTCTCTGAAAATCTGCAACCAACTGCACATCCAGTCCTTTCAATAAGGAAAAGGGAAAAAAAAATCAGTAAATTTGGCCCTTATGTGGATGGATGGAAAAGGAAGGGAGAATTATTAGGCAGAACAAATAGAATTAGTAAAAGGTAAAGAAGAGAAAATGATATAGTTCTGCATCTTTAAATGTGCTTTTTACTAGGTATTAATTTATTTGATCGTAGCTCCCTGAGTATGAGACAGACCAGTAAAAGGCTAAAGAGCAAATTAAGATACTTAAAAAAAAGAACATTGATTATTTTCAATTATTCTGTACCAGTTAGGAGGCTTTTATATTTTGACATTTTAGATTGTTTCTTGAATGTGTTAAGCACTCAAGGAATCAAGGTATTAATTTAAAGATAAGGAATTATTAAATGATTTTTCTATGATCTGTACCTTAAAACTCCCCAGGGATTATAGACTTCCACGTCTGCAGAAGTGTATGCAGAATTTTAGGAAATAAAAAAATCCATTTCTAAGAGTTGAGAATGCTGTGGGAAATTAAAATGTTAAGTGGAAGATTTACTATGGAAAAGGTATTCTTTTGCTTTAGAAGCACCGTTGTAGCAGGTCTTGTAGGTGTAGTAGATAGGTAAGCAGCCCTCTGAAGTTAAACTTCATGAGATTAAGGAAAAAACTCCTTTATGTTCAGTGCTAAACATTGTGTTCTGCTGTTCCTAAGTGTTTTCTGCCATAATCTTTATGAACATAGAAGTGCTTTTCTCTCCTCTGACATGGTATTTCATGCCAAGATCTTTTTCATAGAAACCAGTAGGGGATTATTTCAATTAATTGTAAATCGGCAGCCAAGCTTCATTAACGTTTTTGTTAAAGATTGTCTTATTACTTTGGTTTCAAGATACTGAGTGTTCAGATATTAGCTTAGGAAGCTAGTTTTCCTTTCCATGATAACATTAATCTTATGTGTGAATTCCCAAAAGAGTTTGGAGCTGAAATTAGTTGTAAAGAGAAATAAAAATACTGCAGAGAGTTTTGCAGGACCATGGATTCCTTTATTAGCACTGAATTCTTTTACCAGCTTGACTTACAATTTTCAGCATTGTGTACTTATAACTACAGAGCAGTTTCTGGCATTAGCAGCCTAAACAAAGCACAGTTCCAGGGTGTTTGACCTCTTGATGCACTTGTCAAAAACCTTCCTGGTGTAGCTGGGAGTGAAACATGCAGCAGCAGGCCAACTTCCACTTTGTGTGCTGAGAGTTTGGAAGCAGATGTGGGCTGGTATCACGTAGCGTTTGTGGCATCCAAGCAGATCTCACGTGGAGTTTGCTGGCTTAGCCTCGTGGCCAGACTGTGACTGGTCCATGCAAAATGTGTGCAGCAGCTTGGAAACGTGCAGACTGGTGGAGTGCAGGCATCCTTCCTGGAATATGGGCTTGGGTGTTATCTAACCCCCTCCTCCAAGTCTGGGGGGCGGTGGGGGGAAGGAATCTCTGTGCACAGCAACACAGCAAAGGCTTTCCTATGGGAAAGCAGGAAGAAAGGAGTGTTGCCTTCAGTGCAACCGTGGTGTGGCAATGTCAGTCACCAACATGGTTCAGTTACTTTAGAGGTTCAAAAAAAGCTCACAGTCACATAGCCAGTGGATTTCAAAACATTGAATTAACACTTACTGCACATGAGGAATTGCTGTTGGAGGGTGGCCCTAGGAGTGCAAAGGCAGCACTAAATAAGACTATGTAATGTGCAAAAGTAACAGAGTGGCTTAAATTCAATGTGCTCTCAGTATTCAGGAGCTCTCGGCATGGACAGTCGAGGTATTTATAGCTGCCCTTGGGTCCTGGGGAGTTAAATAGTTCAGGTTTGCGTGAGGGGTTCCCAGTGACCCTTCAGATTAAATCTGGTGACGTTTAATATTACAAGCATGTGCTAATTATACTGCTTACAGCTCTTTGGACAAGCAGGAAGTGGTTTCCCATCCTCAGCATGCCCTAGCACATAGAGAACATTCCATCCTCCCAGATTTAAGTTCCTAGGTGGCCTTCCCCTGGATGAAATATGTTTTCTTTACCTTTTCTTTGTAAGGTGTCATGATTATCAGCGTAAAGAGGCAGCTCACAGCTGCCTGGGCCCCACCCCATCTCCTCCCTGAGGGGAGGGAAGAAAGGGCAGCAGTTGGCATTTTTTAAATGTCTCAAGACTCATGGTGTGGAGTACCAGGGCAGTACCTGCAGCAGGATCTGTGCCCTGGGCTGCCCCATGGTGTGGTCTGCCCTTGGCCTCTGCACTGCCCAGCAGTGGAGACCTGCCAGCCTTCTCTACTGGGCAGGGGTGGAGAGCAGGAGGGGGCTGTCACCCATCTTCCCGTTCCTCCATGAATGGAGCTCACTGACAGTGCCTGACACCACTCTCTCTGCTTTGCTCTGTGCTTTCACTAATAAATTTCTTCCACTGACGATGGGAGGAACTCTGTATTTTGAGGAGTATTGGGGCAGACCTGGTTATTTTATAACTGGTTTAGGGTCGCTGAGGGGAACGGGAGTTTCTCTTCATCTGCAGTCATTTCTCGTGCCAGGGCTCTCTCCCGTCAATCCCAGGAGAGCCACGTGTCTGCAGTGCTGCAGCTCCCTGCTCCTGGTCTGTGCCCCCACATTGGTAGGGGCTCAGGGTGGCCTGTGGTGAGACCTTTCTAAAGCAGCTTTTAGGCTGTTTGTGCAGAGCTGGTGGGAGGCTTGGTCTAAAACCTGCTGTGGCCCCGTAGCTCTCCGAGCTCAACCTTGTCCTCCTTTTGCAACAGGCTGTCTCCTGATCATATGCAGCCTTCCCAGGCTTTAAGGGCTACTCTGCTGTGGGGCTTGCTGAGCTCTTTCTTACATTAATTAATGTAGCTTTACCTTTGGCAGCAGCCAAGGGAGCTGCCAGAGGTCTTACATAGCATTTAAAATGTCAGCTGCCGGTCTGGAGCAGCTGCCAGCACTGGAGCTCTGGCAGTGGGAATGCTGTCACAGGACAAATGCAGGGAATGGCAGTGTGGACACAGCGTGAGTCAGGCAGGGCAGGGACTTGTGTACAGAGTATCCTGACGTTGGTAAAATGCCCTTTGAAATCTCCCAGCAAGTTGTCTCCTGTCTTGCTTGGGTCATATTTAAGGAAATGCTGCTGGCTTCTGACTGTTGTGGTTTGTATTCAGACCTGACTGTAAGTAGTTGTCAGTGTGTGGGGTCTCCACAGATAAAGTAGTCCTGTAGGACTGGGAGTCTCTCCTGGGTGAAAGAGGAAGGCAAAGCACTGGTGGTGAGAGTCTTAAGAAAGAATGTAGTTTCTAAAGTCAGTAATTTTGGTCACACGTATATCTCAATTTTAATTTTTTTAGTGGATTTTTTCTTTTAAATGTTTGGAACTTATCTGTTGATTGAACTGAATTAATATGGGAAAAATAATAAAAAAAAATTGTAACTGCTGTCCTTGCTTGTCGTCATTGCCTTTGTGAATAAATGTGTCTGGAGAGCTGTTGTGTTTCCTCAGTATTTTTACTGGAAGGCTTGGCTGAAGACATTTGTGCTAATTTGAATCTTCTATTTGCTGTCAAGTGTGGGAAGTAAATTTCTTTTTATACTGTTGCTTTTTTGCAATGAGTTGTACCAGCTGTTATAAGTTAGATGAGTACCCATTTGCCTCTCACCTGTGATTTAAACCAGGCTTGTGAATTGGGCCTGTTAGATGTAAGCAGGTCTACCAGAGGTGTCCACATAGGTAGAGATGAATTCAAGATCATTTCAACTGAATCCAAACCCTTTCATGATGCTTTAACTCTTCAGCAGAGGGTTCTTTTACATGCTGGTGTTAAAGAAGGGCTCATTGGGGTTTTTTGTTTGGCTGGTTAGTAATGTGGGGTGCATCCATGGAATGCAGGGGTGTGTGAATCAGAAGGGTCTCACTGCCAAGCTCATAGATGTAATGATAGGCTGGGTACTGCAATATCCACCACAGTGTTTTACATATAGATTTAATCTGTGCCCTTCCTTGTGCTGGAAATGTGTGCCTTTCATGCCCTGTGCCTTTGCATATATGCTGGGTTTGTGTTCCTTATGGTAACAAAAGATTTACATTAAGCAGCCCAAGACAATTTTAAATACTAACAGGCATATAGAGCTGTGCTTTTGATGGCACCAGCAATGGAAGTACTTACTGGAAACCAAATTCCAGACTTGCTGATGGGAATGCTGTAGAGTCAACCAAAAATATCCAGAAACTTTTTTTGATATTCTAGGTTTGCTTCCACATACAATAAAACTTGCATATACAATAAAGCCCCCATCCTGCTCTGCATCCCAGATCTGGGTTATATGGTAGATTTCTTTTTTTAACTCTAGGAGGGTTTCTGAAATGGGGAAAGTGGAAGGCTCAGATCATCAGGGGGTTATTGTCAGTACTGCCCAAGGAATTATAAATGAAGATCATCAACTCGGTCATATTTGTCTTTTAGATTTTTTTATCTGTTCTGACCTCTGAATTTGAGGAAAAATAAAAGCCTGACTATAACATACTCTTCTAAATGCAATTTTTTTTGCTAATACAGTGACCATTCTTTAGTCTGTTCTCCCTTATGGCTACCCCTTCAGACACAGGCTGAAATTATAGTGCCCTGTCTTTTGTTAATCTGCTTTTTGTATTCCCATGTAATTTATTTTCATGTCTTTGAATTTATTCAGGATAGCACTAATGTGATGTATGTGTTTCAGGCATGAAGAGGTTAATGAAGCTTTAACTGCCTCATAATACCAGTCATGTTCTTGGCAGCCTTGGGGATGGGAGTTATTGCCTGCAGTCATGTACAAGAACTATTATCCTCTTTGATTGCCATATTTCTGTACAACCAAACTAGATTTAACAGGATCTTTAGGGGGATCCTTTTGTGTGTTCCTCAGCAGAAAGAGCAATTTTATAGCACCTCTTCTGAAAATTGAAAGGGCAGCTTTTAGTAAACAGGTAACAAAACCAAGAATTCCTATGTAAAATTAATAAAAATTACGTTCATGAAAAGGTGTTTTGAAGATGTTTTTGTGATTTAATTTTTGGAAATAAATCCGTGGTATAAGAAACAATTCTCAGAGCCTCACTGCTAGTTTGATTCTGGCCCTTTGGCTACTTAAACCATAGCTTTACCTTAGGATGAAGTAACTAGCTGTGTTTTTTTTCTTTTTAGTTGACAAAGGGGAAAAAATGAATGTAGTAAGAATTAAAGTGGACATGCAATTTTTTTAAAAGCTCCAATGGAAGTGATTATTTATGGAAATTTCAGAGTAATTACTGGCTACTAGTGCTGCGCTGGCTATTTAAAATCCATCATGTGACTGAGAATGATGCCACTCGGTGCACTTGGATTGCTTAATGACTTTTTTCTGGGCAATGTTGTGTTGTAAAACAGTAATTAGGTAAGATGTTGTTTCAGCTACAGAGTTAGTTTGGTACTAATATACAGTATGAAGAAATCATGTTAAAACCGTAATACCTGGGGGACATTCACAGGCAGGACTAAAGAGCCAGATACGAAGTAAAAAAGCAAGGCACTTCCTTCTCAGTGCTCACTTCATCTCTATAAAAAGTCTGGAGGTATGAGAAGTTTGATTTTGAATACATAGTTATGTTTGGTCCTGTTCTCATGACTATTTGCTTCAGTACATTTCAGAATTCTGTAACTTAATGTTTAAATACATGAGATGTTCAGGGTATCTGAGTGTTGCTGCAGCCTTGAATCTTGGAGGTAGCTGGGATTTATGATTTTGAACTATCCACTTACATTTCATTAGCTATTTTGCATTTTCTTACATTTTTAAGAGAGAAGTAGCTTTACTTATTAGCATTACCTATTTCTACTTAGCAAACATAGTCTGTCACAGCTGAAATAGCAGAACTTAGAGTTTTGTATCAAATATGCCAATCTTGAGATAGAGTATTGATAAGTGCAGGTATTTTGAATGCAGAGAAGGAAATTTCTGGTTTTCAAACCTGAGAGTAGCACAGGCAATCTCTTCTGCTGTAACCTGGATGTGTCTGTACATTAGAAGTAGTTAGATGTTAGAATCCTTTTGTGAATTGTTAACTGCAGCTCTATGTCCTTTCTTCTTTGGATTTTTAGCATGTCTTAACCTTAAGTTGCTGGGTTTTTTTAAATGACATTTTCTTGAGAGCACCATCCTCTATCACTGTGCTAAGAGGGTTGATGTGAGCAGCTTAACATCTCTTTGGGTCTGCAGAGATACTATTTTTATTTTAATAGTGTGCTCTAACAGTGTATTAGCAATGTTTCCTTGTGCTTAGGGATGGTTATGTCATCAGAAAGCACGTGAAAAGAACATGGAAATTTCAAGTGTGGGAACAGCATGACATGAGTGCATGGGAACATTAGACTTTACCATGCACGATGCAATTCATGACATTTCAAATTTTGCATGTTACTACATATACTGGATTTTTTTCACATTAATTTCAAGACTTCTCTCTTTTCCTCAGCTCTTCAAATTAAACCTGAAAGAAGGAAATAAACTTGCTTAATTTATGTAAATTTGAAGGTTGGCATGATGTTAAAGAACTGCCCAGAAAAGGACGTAACAAAGTGAAAGGTAAATCCAAAAGGTCTGGAAAATAATGGGAGACAAAGGGAAAAGTAGAGAAAATTAAATCTAATCTCTACAAAATGAAAGAGACTCCATGTGCATGGGGGGATGCATGGATAGCCATGATGCTGATCATAAAAGGAATAAACATCATAAATAATAAGCGTGATACTGTCCAGCTGGTTTTTTTTGTTTTATTTCTGTATCCAGCAACATTGTGGGAAGAACCAAAACATTTCCCCATGTGCCTTTATAGGACAGAAGGCAAAAGCAGTAAAGCTACTTCCTGATACTGCAGTAGACATTGATAATACTATTATAAAAACACTAAAACTTTAATATCAAGTGCACAAACCCATCTCTGCCTCCTTTCTTTATCACAAAAGCCTTGTTGCTGAGAAAACTGAACGTAACGTAGCGAATCCCAGAGGCAGCTGTAGGTGTGAGACACCTTGCAAACAGGAGGTCTGGGACTCTGCTGGGAGCTGTTTTGGTGGTGGAATTGGGGCGAGGTTTGAGGAGAGCAGGAAATGGCATAAGGACGTCTCTGTTCCTTGTTTACCAGTCGCCAGTGCTGCTGGAATAAACAGCTGTACAGCAGCACAGTGTCTCTTTTGTCACCCAGGCCAGCAGGACTGGGAATGAAAACCTAAAGCTCAGGCCTTGCATTCAGCAGAGGAAGCCTATGGGATAAGGGAGCTTGTCACACAAGTTTGCACGTTGCTTTGGTTTTCGGTAGTTTTGATCATAGGCAAGAGCTTTTTAAATCCAGAAGTTGTTTTTGCCAGTAATCCTCGGTAAACAAAACTTTAACAGACAAACATAGAAGTTGAAGCTGTTTCCCCACCTCCCACCTCTCTTCCCCTGTGCTGGAGAGGTGTTTTACAGTTTTCTCAGGGGTCTTGGAACAGAGAAACCTGTGGTGAAGAGATTTGGGGTTTCTCCTTGCGGCGTGACAGTGAGATGGGAAAGAGAAAATCCTCAACATGAGAGTGTGCAATGCAAACAGAGACTTTTCTCAGCTCTTCAGCCTTAGCCACCTCTTCTTTAAGTAGGGAAGTGTCTGCAGACTGACTCAGTGACTAGACCTCAGATTGCCTTGCAGAACTAAAACAAGTGATAACGAGTGCTTTCCTCACTAGAAGGTACTGGTGACATTTTCACATATTTTCTAAGCATATGTAAACATTTGAGTCCACTAAACATCTTCCTGCAGGTGTAGTATTTTCACAGGAAAGGGAAAATCGTGATTTCACCAAGTCACAGATACTTAATGAGATGTAAACTGTGCTCAGATACTGCTTAATTAATCCTGTTTCTATACAGTGAAAGGTGATTCAGATGCTGAATTTTCCAGAACATCAGACATGAATCCAGTGCCAGAAAAGAGGGTGGGAAAAAAAGAAAACCCACCAGGAATTTAATAAGACTGAAACATCTTTGTTGTTCCATTGCTGAGCAAACTAAAAGGAATGTGCATGGATTCAGTGGTAGTTGTTAAGGCTGATTTATTTCAGTATAGTAGAATGCAGTGAGTGGGTTCTAAAGAAGTGTGCTCTTATACTGAAATTATTACACCTCTGGCAGAGATAAAGAATACCTGATTTACCTTACTGAGGTCTGTATTCTCCCTGAGCCTTCTGTACAATGGTGCCCAGGGGCCTCTCTCCTCCATTCTACAACATCAGCCAGTTAAGATGTGTTGTAAGATTATAGCTTTTTGTAATTTCTAAAATGGGAATAGTTTAATTAGGTTCTTAGCTGAATAGCTGAAGTTTGGTGACCGTGTTTCAATGTTAATGTTCTGTAACTGGAAAGAAAGGTCAGTTAAAGAGGGAAGGATTTGTTCAGCATCATAGAAGAACCTTTATGCTGTTCTTTTATGACATTTTAGGAAGTGTCCTTGGTACCATGATGTGGGCATCATGGGTATCATTGAAGCCCTTCAGTAACTTAGAGCAGGTTATATTTAGACTGTTCTTAAAATGTATTTATTTTCAAGGACTGCCTAGCAAGTCTGTGTTTCTGTGTAGTTAGTAGTGTTTTGACTTTGGTTTTGGGAAAGGGGAATAAGAGAGCAGAAAGTTGAAATGAATGAAACTTTGTTGGATTTTGGTCTAGCAAATTTAAAGGAGTTTAAAGTATGACAAAGAAATGTTGTGTGTTCTTGCTATTAAAAAAATAAAATCAACACTAGTCCAAAAATAATAAAAATATTATGAAAGTATTTTACTTGTCTTGTTAATATCTTATTTTTATGGCAAATTAGTTTATTTTCCTTCAAAAGAATTCCTGCTTGATTTTGATTTAAACAATGCAGCTATTTAAATAAGGCTCTTATTTAGTTGTGCTTGCATATTTTCTACAGAGCTCTATATTACTTTGAAATTCAGTATTTCATTTATATGCAGGGAAAACGATCCTTTTCCTTCATCTAGCAAGAACCCGTATATTCTTTTTTAAACTTTCAGATGTAACCTTCTTAAATATTTTAAGGCATAGCTCCCAACAGAACAGTGGAAAGCTGCTCTTCTCTTAACTTTGCCCTCTCTTTTCTAGGTCTTGGTGAAATACTCCAGCTGCTTTACTTTTCACTGTCTGAAGACCTCGTTATTCAGATAATGAGGTATTTGTGTTTTCTAGACTGACTTCTACTGGGTTTGAAAGTGCAAATAAATATTCAAGGAAGGATAAGAGATTAAATGCACTTTGTTCAGTGTGTAAAATACAGTCATTTCAGATCCCAGTTTCTGTAGATGTCAGGTTCAGTGTTGCCGGTGAAAGGAAAGCCACGTGTTTTCTCACGGGTTGGGAAGAGATGGGAAGACATTGTATTCCTATCAGAGGGATCCAGAGAAAGGATCAATGAGGAGTGCAGCTTCATTGCTCTGCTTTTGTGATCTCTATCAGATTTTGTGTGCCTGATTGGGGTTGACTTCCTTCATTGAACAACAGTGAAAGTGGAATTTGTTAAGCAGATGGGCATAAACAGATTTGGTTAAGTACTGATGGCAGAAGCATTCCTAATTAAACAGGCAAGGTGAAGCTAACATGCAGGAAATAGAGAAGGCAAGAGATTTTTTTTTTTAATTTGGGGAAGTTACTATCACAATGCAGAAAATGGGCTGTCATTCTTACATTTCTGCACTTCTGCTCCCTTCCACTATGCCAGCTTATCTGCTTGCTAATTTTGGTCTGCCTTTCATAGAGTTCTTACATAGAAATAGTATTTTGTTGCTTGTGTAGTAACATTCTCAGAGTCGAAATTCTTCCTTTTTTCAATTAACATACTGAAATGTGGATGTTTAGGTATTCCTGTAGTAAGTTTAATAACTTTGAGAGTTTATTCCTCTATTTTTGTAAGCAGATGTTAAGCTGTTCCTCAAAAGCCTGATAGATGCTCCAGCCTTATGGAAAGAGCTGCCTTATTTATGCCTTATTTTTTTATAAAGCCTTTGCAATTAATTTGGTAGCACTTTGAAGTGAACAGTCAGAAGGATAAGATCTCAGTTTAACACTAAGGACTTCAGCATGTAGACACTGAGCTGCTTTCACCTAATTCTGGTGGGACTGAACTAGATCATTATAAACAATTAGGAAAGTATGGAGAGTAGTTCAAGTGAAGGTCATTTATTCTAGTAATTAATGTTTTTGAGCAACCTAGTGGTCAAAAAAAATTGTCTTTTTCTAACTTCTTCTTTTATTATTTTCCTTAATGTATGTTGTTTTTCTTAAATCTCTTTTTGGGCAGATAATATTCTTTTAAGCAGTGATACTTGTTGTGTATGGCATTGACAATTGTGGACATTATCAAGGAAAATATCTCTTAAAACCTTACTTTAGGTAAGTAGTCATTCTTTACTTGATGTTTGCAATATGTTAAATTATACCTGCATGGTGAGGCACTGAGTAATTTTTTAAGGGAGGACCAACTGTACCCTGAATAGGTCAGAATCTTTAACTGTTAATTCAGGAAATAGTTTCTTTTCAGAAACTGTCACGGAGATTCTTCTTAGAATTCTGCATTCCTTATGATACTCATATAAACAACTAAAAATAGTTTCAACATGTATAATACATCAGATAATAGATGTATAGAAAGTTGCTGCTACAGTATTCTCATGATGTGCTCTGTGAATCTGTTGGAACAAGATGTGTCATATTTAGTCATGGGTTTGGCTGAGCAGGGAGCTGTATCTCAAGTTATATGGATATTTTAAATTGCTGAATTACGTTACTAAAAAATGGTTAGAAACATTATCTCGCTAAACAGTTTTGTGGTAAGAATTCCTCTGGTTTCAGAAAGTGATCTTTTATTTGCTGATAGAGGTTTTGAGTAAAGAAGTCCAGTTAGAATAAAACCCATCCAGTTAAAATCTGAATATTCATCGTGGGTGTAGGTACCGGTGATAGTTGTCTCACTGCAGGTTCATTGGATACTTGGCTGAACTCAGCCTGTGGATACTTTTGTAGATCTCCCCCATGAACATATAGCCATGACTGACACTCCTTCAAAAGAAGAAGGAGAAAAAGGCTTTGAAAAAAAAAAATAGAATTTTGTAACACTGGAAGTAGCTTTATTTTCAGCCCCTTTGCACTTCAAATAGAGTTGTGATTGTTCACTGCTTGCCAAGAAAAGATGGTTCTGACATGAGAATTCTTGTAGAAAGCTCAGATCAGCTCAGAGGAGCTCAGGGATTCTGACCTCTTAGTTCTTGTTCCCAAACTTCTGGGGTTGTTTGGAGCAGAGTTTGGGCTGTCCCTGTTGTCAGAGCTGTTCCTGGCCCTTCTAGGAGGCTGCTGTGTGGGGCTGGCAGGGAACCCAGGGCTGCAGGGGCAGGGTGGGGGCACAGTGACCCCCAGACTGTTGTCACTGAGTCCTCCACTGGGCATTTTTCTGACTTTGGAGATGTTCTTTTCATATTTTGAAGGAAGAGCAGTGTATATGTACCAGGAGCCACAATTTGGGCTGTCATAAAACTGATCTAAAGGTAGTAAAGCTGACATTGCTGGTTTGGACTATACCATAAGAGGTATTTTTTTTTTTTTTTTTTTAGTGTGTCCTTCTGTATCAGCAGAAAATCTGCTAAAAAATCAGAAAAGACAAATCCTATGTGTTAAATCATTAGCTTTGAATTTATTTTTAAGCTCCTCCTCATTTAATAGGCTCTATTACGAAGTTCTTACTGCAACTATCTCTTCCTTTGAAGGGCTTCTGCAGACCCTGACCACTTCTAAAGAAGGAATTCACAGCAGAAGGCTAATTGATCTGCTCAACTCTATGAATTTGTGTAGTGGAACAGAAATCTTACACCTCATAAAAAATCTCACCCTTGCAAATGTGTCCTCTGTATTAAACAGTTTTAGTGCATCTGATTTTTTTAATAGGTTCAAGACAGCAAAGTAAACTCAGGTGTGTAGGAGGGGCAAAATATGTGAGGGCAGACTAACATTCTGAGGGGAGATATAGAGGTAAAACACATTAAAATCAAAGCCCCATAACTTTACAGGGTCATTTCAATGCTGGTAATGTAAGATTGCTTTCCAAGTGAAATACATACATCTCCTGAGTCAATTTTTTTAAGAGTTCTCAAACTCCAGCAAAGAAGAAAAATCTTAATTTGTCAACTGGGTACCAGGAAATATAATGAGCAGGTTTTGTTTGTGAATGTGGGTCACATCATTCCTTCTCCCTCCCTTACCTGTTCTTTTCTTAGGCCATAAGGATTTTCAGATTTTTGAAGCATTTTGAAGCGTATTTACAGGAGTTAACCTGGTGATGTGAAGCATCAAAGGATTCAGAGGCTGTTACCCCCAAATCCATGACAGCTTTGCAGATGGAGGAGAAATACAACATCATCTCATCTCTCCTTAAACAGTTTGTTTTAGGCAGTGGTTTCAGATTAAATAAATAACCAAGTACTTAGTTTAGAGACTCCAGACCCTTAAGTATATTGAATTAAAAATTTGGGGCCACTGTTGTAGTGAATAGAAGGCAATGTGTTTTACAGAGAAGCAGGCAGAATATCTCTTGATTCATTGTACCTCCAAGTAATTACTAAGAGCAGATCTTGCTGGTAATTCAAGCAACAAAAGCATTTTCTAATTATATAGGGTCAGATTTTCTGGTTTACAGTTTCCCAGTGAAAAACTCTTCTTTGGGAAGCCTAGGGGGTAGAATTCTCCCCTCCTCTGCTTGTCCTTCTGCAGGAGCAGAGGAGTAGGAAAAGATGTTCTTGGCTCACACCGTGCCTGCTGGGGTAGTGATGCAATCTAATAAATACACATAGTTTTCAGCTAGTAAGTGCCAAAATGTCTGATAGCTGAGGCTGTAGTCCTTTCCTTGAGAGATACCAAAACATGTTACATTTATGTAAACAGCTGTGTCACTCTCATACACAGAGCACAATGGTGGTTTACACTATTTTCCCAAGGAATAAGTGAAGACTCAGAGCAGTAACAGACTGAGCAAGAATAAAATCTAACACTATGCAGCAATGATGGACACCAGTAATCCTCAGTCTACTCAGCAGTTGCTTCAGCTGCAAAGTAACAGATTCATTTTAGAAACACCAGCAAGGAATTATTTCTAAGAACTCCTGATAATATAACAAATTTGCATGTTGGGAGAGCAGAGGTGTCACTGTCTGTAGCTACAGCTCTAAACCCAAATAGCCTGAAGCTGTTTCTGCTGTGAGGGCTTTGCAGGAAGACATGAATTTTGCAGCCAGGAAGAGCAGGTGATTTTTCTTTTTCTAACCACAGGAAATCTTTAGGTGTGCCAATAGATTGATGTTAGGAGCTTTTTCAGTATTCCCAGGTGAAAGCTGAATGTGTATGCAGACTCTATGGCATTTGGTCACTAGAATACTATAAATTTTCTTGTTACTTTCACAAAGTGAAACATGATAAAATTTTATTTTCTGCATTAGACATTATAAAAATAGAAATAGAAGACTGAAATATTCCATTCACAAAGGTGAAGTGGGTGTATTTTGATCATATTAAAGCTACTTTACTTGTTTTTCAAAACAGATTCCTGCTGAGGATGTGCAGCACTTGAAGTGACATTTTCAGCTGTAAAAGCATTGTTGGAAAATTTAAGTCTGCATTTAATAGCATCCCATGCTATTAAATTCAATCCAGCTATAAGTGGTTGTAATTCTTGTCTTGAAATCGGGTGTGTGTGCATTAGAATGAGGATGTAGAGAGTTAGAATGTAGAGAATTAGAAAGATATAAAATATTTGAATTATAGCAAGAATAACAATGGCCTGGTTTTTTTTGTCAGCAACCTGCATTCTGTCCCTGTATCCATAATATCAAAGATGGATGGATGGATGGATCTGGCCACGCAAAATGTTTTGGTTTTTTTGTTTTTGTTTTTTAAATTGCTTGGGTTTTCCAATCCAGCAATACAAAATACCAGCTGCATAGTGGAAGTTAAAAGAAAGGGAGTGGGATTCACCAGCTGCAAGCACGGGCTCCCTGTGGTTCCTTTGCTTGCATTTTCACCTGAAATGCCAGTTCACTTAGTTTGGAATTAAGCACTGCAACACTGAGTGTTCTGCTTGCTACTCAAGGCAGCACGTTCCTGGACAGTATTGCTTTTCATTTCCACTCTGTTTGCAAAGACCTGTGTCCGTGGAGGGGGAGCAAATGTCCAGCTCCCATCCCTGGTGATTCCTTACCCCCGTGTCTCCTAGATCTCCCCAGCACTTGGGATATCTCTATTAAATGAAAGCCTTGACTTCATCTTCTCCCTCGCAAGATGGCAGCATTGCTTCAGGGAATAAGGCTGCTTTTAATGTTTCTGTTTTATCCAGTCTGTGAGAGAAACTCTGACAGGTGTGCTCATTTGTGTTATCTGAATTTACATATCAACATCAGTTCACGGGCCAGGATGAGCTTCGTTTGTTTGCTGCTGTGTTTGCTGGCTTTGCAATGAAAATAAGTTGCTCTAATGAGTTTTGGGAATTGTGTTGAAACTGTATCGTGTTCGTTCTTTGTCATTATTACAGTGACTCTAGTTAATAATGCAGTTGCATTTCTGAGATTTCAGCTGCAAAATTTGATTGTTTCAAATGCACTAAGCAGGAATATCTTACAGGAATTTTAATTTCAGATTCTTACATGGGTAAAAAAAAAGTACAAGTGCTTTTATTCTTTTGGGTCTTGATCCAACTCTCTCTGAAGTCAATGGCTGAGTTAGAATTTTAGAGTAAGTCCTGTGAGGGGATAGGAACAGCTAATAAGAAATGTGAATAAAGCAGATTTTTATTTATTTTTGTATTTTGTTCCATATATACATAATCAGGAATAATGAAAGAGCTGCTGTTTGAACCATTAGAAGCATCAACCTTGAGTTACCTCTGGGCATTACCTTTATTTGACTTCAGGGCAGCACTGATTGACTTCTAAAGGAATTATACGAGTTTATTTCTGATTCTAAAAATGGATCTAACAATTAGGCCTTACCCATAAGGAATAAAAAGCTTGGAAATACAGGAAACCTCACTGTGCTGTCTTGGATGAGGTCCAACTTCCCAAAAATGTAGATGTATATTTTTTACTTTTAATTATCATTTTGCCTGTGATTTTGATTTAAAATCAAAAGCATGACTTGTGAGATGAAGAATAATATTTTCTAATTCCTATGGTTGTTTTAGAACTCTCTTCAGATATTTCACTTGGCAAAAATGCTAACAAGACCATTTTCATTTTTAAATTGGGAAAGCATTTTCCATGATTGCCTGGAGATATGTCTTTTTTATACTTATAGTACTGAAAGACATGTACTTTGCTGTGCTGAGTATTATTTCAAGGAAATATTGGCTG